AGTGCCAGGAGCAAGGCAGAGGGGCAGTCCTGAGGTACAGCCTCTGGCCTCTCCCGAGGAAAAGCGAGGTGTGCATCGTCAGAACTGCACTGGGAAGAGTCCCCAGGACACCTGTCCACAAGCTGCTGCTACTTCTTGGGCTTCTCTAGAATGTTGAGGAATTTCCCCCGTGTCATCTCTCTGGCTGGAATCATAAAGCAAACGAAAGATCAATGAAAATCTAAAATGTGAAAGAAAGATCTAGGAAGATTTAACTTAAAAATGCAGGTTGGTTTAAATTGTATATCAAGTTGCTACCAACACATTCAGTCATCACCAACTTCCTAAATGGGGAAAAACTAAACTGTTATTGACAAGTAAAACTGGAGAGAGATCCTGAAGTTGGCAGTTGTTATATGGTATAGGCTAACTAGGGAAGACTACCATCCATCCTTAGAAAAAAAAAAAATCACCAGGGAATTTCTTTTTTATCTACCTACCTATCTTTCTGAAGAATCTAACCTAACATCCATGTTCACTATCTCATGGGGGTTTTCTTTGGAGGCTAAAATCCAACCAAGATAAGAGTCTTCTCTGGGTTGTTGATCTGTAGACATCTATAATCTCCAATCAAAATCAGAGATCATTTATCCCATCTCGGCAGTGGTTGTCCCCACATGCTGTAATGTTACAGGGTTTATATTCCCTCAGTATAGTTCATCTGGGGATAGGAATAATAAAGTGCGGTTTATGGAGCTTTGGTCTTCTCTCTCTTGGTATTGTCAGTCCTTAGGTATTTAATATAGCCAGGCAAGGTTTATGTGTCTTTCTCTGACTTTCAGCACCATCAATCTTTGACTGCTGTAGTTACCAGTGGTTTTATACAGCTACTTTCCTACATATAAGGTTCCAAAATGAAAGCAAAACATCTCTCGATTTCAAGGATCACTTCAGAAAACCCATTTTTAGCTCTGTCAAGCAAATGCTCAACAAGCATACACAGTAAAACACTCCCATCCCCATCCCACAAGGTCATTTTTTAACAATTCTCCAAGTTTCTGATGGCTGGCCCTGGAGGCCAGATGTCTTCTGAAACCATGCAGTGGGCCCAGGACAGGCTGTGGCCTGTGGCCTCCCAAAGACATGGCTCCATCCTGGCCAAAGAAGTGAGATGGCTAGGGAGGCACCTGCAGGAATGAGAAGAGCCTTCACCCTGGCCTTCTTTCTAAAGTCCAGAGAAAATAGTGCTGGATGAGTGGGCTGCCAGTTGCTTGTTTATTTGTACAATGAAGAAATCATTTTTTTGCATAATATAAACTGTCATCACAGGGAGGCTATGGGTAACTTCTATCTATCCACCTCCTAGCTTATACTAGTTCCTGAGCTCCAACAAAGGGAAAGGAGATTCTGTTAGCCAGGAGTGGAATCCCCAGTGCTGGGTCTTGCCTCATTTGCCCACCATGCCACCCTGCCCCAAATCAAACTGACCTCCTCATTCCTTGATGGATTTATACCAAACTATACATTCAAAGTTCCCATAGGACTTGCACACAAAAACTTGTTTATGTATGTCTTCTTCCACTAAAATATAAGAATCGAGGACAGAGACTGACTGTTAAGCGCTAGACCTTGTATCTGCAGAATAAATGATAGCTGGATAAATGAATGGTAATATACAAAAGAACTAGAACTTAATAGGAACACAAATGTTAATTTCCTTCCTTTACACAAATAACAAGACTAGTTAGTGGCCCTTGGTGTTCCAGCTTCTCCACCGTGGGAGTCTTTTTGAATGTACCTTGCTTATTTGGCAAGAAAAATAATTTCCCTTGATGGAAGTAATGCCAAGTTAAAGGAGAGATCAGGGGTCAGGGGCTAACATATTCCAGAGGAAATCCAATCAAGTACTCTCTTGCCTATGGGAAGCAGCATGGGGCTTCTTCCAGAGACCACAGGATTTGAGCTCAGTTTAAATTTCGGTGCTAGCACTTAGTAGCTGGGTGACAACTTGGCTTGGACATTATCTCTGAGCCTTGCTTTCTTCATCTGTAAGATGGATTATGTTACTGCCTCCTGCCCTACTCTTCTCTTAGATATTAACAATGAACATACTTGGTATAGTGGCAATCATTAACACAATCCTTCTCACAGGTGAGTAAGTAAGTTCTCATACACGCAGTATTTTCTGAGGGAATGAATGAAGGATTGTGATAAGGGGGACTAACAATCTTAAAAACCCCATTCCTTGGAATCTTTTCCCTCAATCTTATCCTACAGGAGTTTGCTTATACTTTTGGGCACTGTTTATTTCTACTGGATAAGTTACCCGTCTGTTCTCAAGTACTTATTAAGGGCTTTAAATGCATACAGTTATCAAATGATCCTGTGACACGGCTAGAAGCAGGTGCTGTGGAAACAAGACAGTGGTGAATCAGAATTCTGATGAGAAGACATCCTTGTCCCAAACCCTAAGCCTACAAGTTCTGCCCTGACCTTACAGTGTGACTTCTGCCTGCTGTACTTCGGACCCCCCAATTCCTTACTGTTTCTTCCCATGGAAAAATGACCAATATTTTAAGACACAGAATTAAAAAGACTCAATTATCTGAGGGATCAAAGGGTTTAAAAGAAAAAAAAAAGGAGATTCTGTAGTGTCTCAGTTGCAAGCTCTCCTTGAATTTAACCAGTCCTTTTTAACAACCCCTTTTCCACTCAATCATTCCTCCCCCTTCAACCTAATCCAAGTATACAGAGCTGCAGAAAACCACCATAAAAGTAGAAGTAATTCAAAAGACATCATCTTCTACATGGGAGGGGAGAAAGTTTCCCTTCTTGCCAGTCCCATATAGGAGATATACGAATGTGTGACACAGCCGCTCCCTAAAAGAGGGCTGTGCCTTATAAATCAGAACCTAAGCACCAACCCCTTTTTGTGCACAGAGAAATTGCTGTGGGTCAGGGGCTGCTCCAGAGCACGTGCCCTCCTGTTCACTTGTCATCAGAGATGTTAACATTTCTGATTAATTCGCATAGCCCTTATTTTATTCCTTTTTTCTTTATCCTTGCTCTCCTGCTCTGCTGCAGTGTAAAGATTCTTAGCGACCTGCTACAGTAATCACCGCCCGCTCACTGAACCCCCCCAAAACCTACTGAAATTGTTTAGTGATGCCAACCGCGCTTTTAATTTGCAAGACATCAGACACAGAGGTAATTTATACCAACATCTGTTCATTTTTGACTTCTGAAACAAACTCGCACATGCTGCTACAAAATCCCATTAGGAATAGGGAGACAGCCTTCTGCTACTATTCTATATTGCTTGTCTACATTCTCTCTCTCTCTCTCTCCCCCCCCCCTTCAAGGAGGGTTTTATATGTAAATGTATTTTACTGAAACATTCCCACCAAGGATTTAAAATCTCTTTTGGGGAAAAAAACCTTTATAGAGATGGCTACTGCCTGCTTATAGAGGAGAGCCATGTATTTGTTTCTCTCTGCCTAGGACCCTCCCTAATTCTTCCTAGACATTACAGGTTGGTTTACTCTGGCATGAATGGCCAGGGTAAGATCACACGTTCTTGAACTTGGCACTTCTAGTTCCTCTGATCTTTCCTGTGTCTCCCCGACTACCCTCAGGGCTACAACATAACATATAGAAAACAATCCTAGAAGCTGGGGATGTAGCTCAGTGGTAGAGAACTTGCCTAGCATCCATGAGGCCCTGGGTTCCATTCCCAGAAAAAAAAAAGCAACAATCTAGAACTAGTGAAACTTGTTAACTACTATCTGTTCTGGATGGATTCTCCAGGATTACCAGGTTGAACAGGAAGGCAACTTTGCTACCACTCTAATAACTAGGCCACGAAGAACTCACTAGTCATCAGCCTCTACGATGTGTGCTGTGCACAAGAGAAGCAGGATGCCATGCCAGGTGGTGATTTATAGGCCTTCCTATGTAGTATACAATACAGATTGCAAACTGAGTAGTCACAACAGAGACTGTCACTACAGGGTTAACACATGAATTGCTCTTTGTGGAGAGATGGCCACTTGTATACATCAAAAGGCAGCAAATGGCTAAACTACAATCAACTTCCAGGTTTATGCTGTTTCTATTACCCCCTTCGTAGTTTCTCTAGGGCTGTCAGGTTTGTGGCAGCTGTAAATACATGGGTCTACTCAGAGAGGTCAGGGCTGAAGGGAGGACTCCAGCCTGCTTGTTCTGAAGGTGGTGCAGGTTTAATATAATCTCTTCTTGAGACTCTCCAATTCCTCCATCCTGTATTTAGCCTTGCCTCTGGCTCCCTTTCCACAATGACTATCCCCAAACTGCCTTCTCTGCAGTAAATTTTCTGGTGGCTGGTTGAAAAAGATTCAGTGGTACAGATTGATTTCTCACCAGTGAGGGGATGAGGGATTACCAGAAGCACCCTGGTTAACGAGATTGGGTGCAGAATCTCTCTCGAGACCAGCCCTCTCTGCCAGGGCTTTGTACCTTTCGTCTATGACATATGGGTTTCATTATAGAAAGATTTTCCAGATTATAACTTTGAGGCAATTGCTTGATAAAATTCCACTCAACAGAACAATGTAAAGACAAGTAACTTTTTAATGAAGTGGAAAAAACTCATATAATGTTTGGTGTTTAATTTCAAACCACTTTAAATATTTCTGTGCTACAATCTAATTAAAAACATCTGCAAGGTGGAGAAGAGTTACTTTGACTGGTTTGCTCCTATCTGAAAGAGTAACAACAAGCTGTTTTCAGGAGACTCTTGCTATGAGTGACCAGGAAACAAAAAAGACAGCATAATATTGTAAAGGGGCAGGGCTCTTGGCAGTGGACAAGCCTGGATTTTAACTTCATCTCCTACCCTGACCCTTGGCAAGTCTCCAGGTTATCTTTTCAAACTTCAGTTTCCTTGTCAATATCAATGTCCGCTAGGCTTTTGGTAAATGCTAGCTTCTGGGTCGCCAAGTCTTTCATTTCCAACAAGAAGTTTGAAAACAATCTAGGATTCATTTCTTTCTTTCTTTCTTTTTTTTTTTTTAATACAATGCCTTTATTTTCATGTGGTGCTAAGGATCGAACCTGGGTCCCGCCTGTGCTAGGCGAGCGCTCTACAGCTGAGCCACAATCCCAACCCTAGGATTCATTTTTTTTTTATAGTAATCATACCTAAAGACAATGTCCTATATATAGCAGCTCTCTAAAAAAAAAGTTATAAAACTATCCTTGATTTTACAATGAGGAATGAAAAACCTAAGATTTCTCGGAGGGAACAGGTATGCGAAGATTTGCTGTTTTCTGTTAAATGATGATAACAAAATAACTTAAGGGACTATAAAGATAGCTGAATAAGCATGTCACTAGAAAGGGGATATTTTCACAGAATCAGTATTTTTCTCTCATTCCATCTCCATTTGAAATTGATCAAACCATACCATGGCCATTTAGTTGAAAAACAAAAACAAAGGCAGTATGTTTGTGCGTATGTGCTGTCCCTTTACATATGAGGAAGGGGAAAATGAAAGAATAGAGAAATCCACACTGTCAGGATGACATGAGACCAACTTGTAGTTTTCTAAGGAAATGTATTCTTGGTCTATGGGTACAGAGTTCTGGAGTAAATAACAGGTTCCCTTCTTGGCAGATATCTCCTGTCTGCTGTTGGAACACATTAATGGTATCTTCAAATTCCATTTCTAACTGTGCAGGTGTGTCAGTTTCATTAATCGGTCACCCATCAAACTGGAATTTGATCTGCCTCATTGATAAGCCCTGTTGTTAAAAATGAGCTTTCATTAGTTTACTGAATGGCGTATTCTTAATCTTGGACTATACCGTGCAACTATCCTGCCCTGCCACCTTCACACTAATAAGACCACTCTCTTCTGTCTGAATTCCTTTCCTGGACTATTTATTTTTTAAAAAAGATCTACAAATGGGCTAGCCCAGTCCTGGAGAAATAGGTGCTCAAGGAGGTTCCTCGTCAGCAGACATCATTAATCCTTAGTTATCTGTTACCATCTGCTTCTACCTAAACTAAACAAACATTAGGTAACATGAACAAACAAAAAACTACTCTGCTGTAGTGAGAGGCAGTTACTCCCAAGCAAAAGAAACACACAAAATCCTGGTTAGTTTATATCAATGTGCTAAAAGGCAATTTATTTAATTAGCTTCACAGAAGATGTCTTATAGAAATGATGCCATTTGTTATATTTATAGTTTTTTAAAAGTTGTTAAAGGACCTTTATTTTATTTATTTATATGTAGTGCTGAGAATTGAACTCAGTGCCTCACCCATGCTAGGCAAGCGCTCTACCACTGAGCTACAACTCCAGCCCCATATTTATAGTTTTGACTCTTGAAAAATTACTCCTTTGGTCCTTGATTGCACTGTGCAGCTATGACAAGAGGGATCAATCAGTCAGTCACCAATGTGTGCTGTGCAGAAGAGAAGCATAAAAAGACTATTCAGCGCAGTAAAACAGAGTGCCCACTATGTACAAGATATTAGAAAGATTAAAGTAAATTCAAAGATATGCTTTCAGTAGAAACAGACTATTCCCAAAGCCATGTTGCTTTGAGGTGAGCTAGTTGTTAACAGTATTTTGGTACATTAGAGAATGAAAAGAAACCAATGTGATTTATAATGCTGATTTCTGTCCCACACAAAAGTGGAAAGTTTTCCTGATACTATGGGACAGTGCTGGCAAACAGCAAAGCAGTTCCAAGACAGCCTGCCAGACTGAAATTCTTCTCTGAGCTCCAGTTCAATGTCAGATCTCTGTCCAGAAAGGACCACTAAGTGACTGATAATTCAAGTCAAGGACCAAACACTTCTGAATGCCTCCAATATGAGAGCAGCTGGTGCTGGTGCCACCGTCACAAGCAGAAGGAGCTGGGAACTGAGCACAGTGCCACTGGAAGGGGAGGAGTCTCTTAGAGTCACAATGCATTGGGATACTTGATGGCCCTCACCAGGTACTAAGGTCCAATGACCATTCAAGCATCCATTAGGGAAAGTGGCCACAAGTGAGTCTTTGGTGGAAATCTTGCTTTTCTTTAAAATATATAAAAGTGGCACTTGAAAGTCAGAAAAAAAGCCCTGTTATGGTTTGAATGTGAGGTGTCCCCCAAAAGCTCATGCATGAGACAATGTAAGAAGGTTGAGAAAGAAATGATTGGGTCATGAGAGCCTTAACCCAATCAGTGAATTAATCCCCTGATGGGATTAATTGAGTGGTGATTGAAGGCAGGTAGGGTGTGGCTGGAAGAGGTGGGTCATTGAGGTGTACCTTTGAGATACATATTTTGTATCTGGTGAGAGGAGTCTGTCTCTCTGCTGTCTGATCATCATGTGAGCTGCTTCACTCTGCTACACTCTTCTGCCATGATGTTCAGCCTTACACTGAGCCTTGTGGAATGGAGCTGGCTATTTATGGACTGATCCTCTGAAACCATGAGGCCACAAATAAACTTTGCCTCCTCCTCAATTGTTCTGATCAGGTTTTTTAGTCATAGCAGCAAAAAAGGTGACTAAGACAAGCCCTGAGGTTTTGGTCTGAAGTTCTTTGGGCATAAACATTCCAAAATGGAGACTGAGACACTATACAACTGAGAAAAGCAAAGCCTGGATACTCATCTTGTGACCAAACTATCACAGACAATCAAAATTTCATTCTCAGGATTCTTCCAAAAAAAAAAAAAAAAAAAATCTTTTTGGGAGCATACTTTCCAGATTCTTTCTATTGGGTGTCTTGACTTTGTGACAGTTGCTAAGAACACTGGTTCCTCCAGTAACTTTAGAGAAAATTTTATATTAAACCCTTTTTTAAAAATTTCCAAATCTCAGTAAGGCCCAATTCCTGAGAATGTTTTATCCAAGAAGCAGTATTAGACAGAAAAATCAGGACTCAATGTGCAGGTAAACAAATGTGGACAGTTCCAATATGGAAAATAATTTTAATGGCTTTTCATAACAGAAAAAAAAAGGACAGAATATCCAGCCAACAGAATTATTTTCAGAATACAAAGCATCAAGCAGGAACGTAAAATATGGGAAGTGTCAGCCATGATGCCTGAAGATTGAAGGCAGAAGTAGAGGAATCTTAATTGTGAGGCATTTGAAAAATGCTGTATTCAGGAGAAAGCCTGTGTTTCTCCATCAACTCTCCTTGCCCTTCCCTCTTTTAAGAGTAAAACAAGACTAGATTTCAAATATGTAATCTTTCTTATCATCCTTCTGCCTACTAAAATACAAATCAAAATAACAAAAAACTTCAAAGATCTGTGTTCAAGAAATAAGAGCTAAAAGCTTATTTGTATTTTGTTTCCCTTTTGGAGGGCCTTGGGGGCCTGTTTCAGAGTCTCAATTTGGTTCCTTTTTCGAGGGTAAAACTCAATTGAGTGAAAGACAATGAGATCAAAGCAATGTATTAATGCTCTGTGGGCTAGAAGTTTTATTCAGTACGCATAAATCTGTGCAGAACATTCATGCTTCAGGGCCTCTACATAGTATCACATCCTGGTGAAACACTTAAGACCAAAGGTTAGCAACTTCACAAAGTCTTAATACCCTGATCCATAAAGTGAGAATAATAATAGTAATCTATCAGGTAAGATTAAGATATAAAAGCTAGTCAAAGTGACTTTATATGAAACATTTTGCCCCACATTAGAAGATTATCCAGAAGCCAGATTCTACTCTCAATACAATCATTTCAGAGGATATTAAGACAACTTTCCTTCTTGGTCCATTCCACTTCCAGGGGCTGGCAGCAGCTTGAGTCCAGGGAGAATGAAGGACCAACCTTCTTGACCCCCAGGGCAGGGAAAGAGTTACATCTTCACACTGAGAAGCCAATAAAAACCTCTCTTGATTATAATTTAGATAAGAACCACTGGATTGAATAATAATGTCTGAAACTCCCCTGGCTGTTTCACCTTGAGACGTCCATCACTGGGTTAAACATGATGCTAATTGCATTTGGATTGATTAATTTCTCTCACTCCTGTCTATTCGAATAACGCTTAACAAAATAATCATAGCACCCAGAGCCAAATCTTTTCCGTCAAAGGAATGAAGCCATCAGAACAGGCAGAGATGAAAGAAATGAAGATGACCCGTAATTACTGCTACGGTGATATCATTACCATATTATACAAAATGAGTGTGGGGGTAGGGGGGAGGAAGGAGGGGCTGAGATTATTTATTTTTTTAATGGAACCCTACAACCTAAGAATACAGATTTGACATCAAGTGGAATGCACAGAAATACAGAACTTAAAATACAAATCTTACTCATGAAATTGCAAAATTCAACACTGAGGCCCAAGATACATCAAGTGTCTTAGGCTGTGAGCAGGTATTATTCACGCCACTATTTTTCCATCGCAATAACACTTTGTGTATGACTTGCATAGAGATTTAAGATGCTGTCTTCATGCCACAAGCATGCCTATGGTTACTGGAGAATTTTTCTCTGAGACAGGTTATAATATCATTTTATTTTAATATTGTTAAGGGTAGCCTTGTTTATGAAATTAGAACCTGGGTTTTAACTGCAGCTAGTTCCGAGGTAGTACAGAGAAAAAATTAAAAAAATAGAAAGGAGACAAAAGGAAGAAAGACTACTTTAATATGAAAGCTTTGTGCTCAGTTTCTTCATACCTTCTCTCCCCTAGCCAGTTATCTTTCCCTGGCATGACATCCCCAAATTTCTGGAAAATTTATAAATCTTTACTTGCACTAGAAATTCACCTATTTATGAAAATTGCCCTGTACACTGTTAATTGGCCCACTAATACATATAAAAGGATACATTTAGAAAAGTAACCTGTATAATAGGAGACTTTCCTAGAAAGCTATAATATAGGGTACTTTCCCAGCATCATCCATTGATTAGATAATGAAGAAGACATCAACCTTAGGACCCTGAGAACTGCCACACCACCATAAACAATCTTGTGACCACCAAACTGAGGGGATCCCCACATACCTTCCCGTGTTACCCTCCCCTAGTCTCCTTTAAAAGAAGGAGCTGAGATCCCAAGAGTGCTTCTCATTCTTCAAGATAGCCAGCACTCTCCTTTGAATGTGCACTCCCTTTCTTTCCCAAATAAATCTATGTCTCAATAGCTAATACATGCTGAAATTCTTTTCTGTCACACACATCAAGGACCCTGTTGTCCCGAGTTGATGTCTCCCTCTTCAGACCCCCTCCAGTGACAGTTTAGTTTAAGACACCAAAGAAAATGTCTGTGAATCTTCACATATGGTTCATTAGACAATATTCTGGATTTAATTTAAAATGCTAGTAAAAAAGAATATAATAATATTTCTCTGTAAACTATTTTCTTGTTTGACATGAGATTTTTGATATTTATGATAGAAAACCTTTGCTTGTGTAGGATGTAAACTTTAGGTCAAAATCCACTGCTGATTAGATGGAAATCTCAGGTAAATTATGTAGCCTCTCTGTGCCTCAGATCCTTCATCTGTAAAATGGGGGCCAATATTTACCTTTCGGGTTATATGAGACTTAAAATACATTTAAATACATTGAAGTACTTAATAAGTGTGGTATAAGGAAAAAAGATTCCCCTTAATATTAACTTTATGGGTATTTACAGAACCCAGTACAATGTTTAGTTATATCATTTACTAAAGTTAATTCAACAGACATTTGTAAAGTACCTCACATACAGAATTTAACAAATATTTGCAAAATAAATAAAGATTTCTTAGAATGCACTTTTTTTTTTTTTTTTTTGGTGCTGGGGATTGAACCCAGGACCTTGTGCATGTACTCTACTAACTGAGCTATATCCCCAGCCCAAAAAGGCACATACTCTTAAAAGGCTAGAAATAGACTAAGGAGGCTGGGGCAGAAGGATTGCAAGTTTGAGGACAGCCTCCTGTAGCAACCTCCAAGTTGCTAGGATTTACAGGTGTGTGCCACTGCCCCCAGTTTCTATTGTCATATACAACAAGCTTATAAAGTATCTATATTTCCAATTTGTAATCATCTAGTAATAAATATGAACAGTGCTTTAAAAGAAAAAAAAAACCCAAATATGTAATTATTTCTGCCAGGTTAAAACAAGAGTCTAAACCATTTACTCTATTAACTCAATATTCTCTGCCTTCCTCCCTGGTTAAGAAAGTCAATGCAATACAGTGAAAAGGATTTATCTATCTGGCTTTGGAGTTAGGCCTCAATTTGTTTCAAACTCCAGACCTCAAGACCATGAGCAAGTAATTTACCTTCCTGAGCCTCAGTTTCCTCGGCTGTAAAATGGAACTGTAAAAGACTTCGCAGCCTTGTGAGACTAAACAAGGTAACATATTTAAAAAAAAAAAAAAGAGAGAGAGAGAGAAAGAAAATTCTTCATGCTATCTGGCATAGATCAGGGAAGTCAATAAATAGTGGTATTAATCTTTTTTATCCTTCTTGTCTCAGCTCAAATGTCCCCTCTTAAAAGGCCTTCCCCAACCATCCTAACTAAAGTGCACCCTTTTCAGTTACTCTCTTTCACATCAACCCACTTACTTCCTTTATAGCACTTACAAAATCTGAACTTAACTTTGTTAATTTCATGCTCCATGAAGTTCTGTAGAATCTCTTGTTGTACCCTAGCAATGAGAAAAATATCAAGCATATAGTTGTGGTCGACTAACCATCTATTTATTTATGTGTGTATATTTTACATATATTTTATATGTTATATAGAAATAAATTATTCATGAGGAAAGAGAACTCTGCTTCCTTTTCAATTCTTTTTTAAATTTAATTTTATTTTCTAAAAAATATTTTTAGTCATAGATGGACACAATGCCTTTATTTATTTTTTATATGGTGCACCACTGAGCTACAGCCCCAGCTCTCCTTTTCAAATCTTTTTTTAAAATTTGTTTTAATTAGTTACACATGACAGCATAATGACCTTGACATATTATAAATTTGAATCAGATAGGATATAATATCTCATTTTTCTGAGTATACAGGTTGCAAAATAACATTGGTCATTCATTCACATATATACACACAGTAATAATAATGTCTGTTTCATTCTACTATCCTTCCCATCTCCCCAACCCCTCCCCTCCCCTCCCATCACTTCTCTCTACCTAATCTAGGGTAAAGCTATTCTTTTTTTTTTCCTCACATCTTCATACATGTATTTTGTATAACAATGAGGGTCTCCTTCCACCTTCCATGCAATTCCCTTTCTCCCTCCCTTTCCCTCCCACCCCTCTTCCCTATGTAGAGATAATCTTCTTCCCATGCTCTTCCTCTCTTCCCCATTTTGAGTTACCCCCCTTATATCAGAGAAGACATTCGGCATTTTTTTTTTTTTTTTTTTTTTTGGGGATTGGCTAACTTCACTTAGCATAATTTGCTCTAATGCCATCCATTTCCCTGAAAATGCCATGATCATATTATTTTCTAGTGCCGAATAATATTCCATTGTGTATATATGCCACAAGTGCTGGGGAGGATTCGGGGGAAAAAGGTACACTCATACCACTGCTGGTGGGACTGAAAATTGGTGCAGCCAATTTGGAAAGCAGTATGAAGACTCTTTGGAAAACTGGGAATGGAACCACTATTTGACCCAGCTATTCCTCTTCTCGGACTATACCCAAAGGACCTAAAAATAGCATACTATAGAGACACAGCCACAATTCACAATAGCAAGACTGTGGAGCCAACCTAGATGCCCTTCAAAGGATGAATGGATTAAAAAATATGGCATATATACCTTTTCAATTCTTAATTAGACTCTATATATGTAAGTTTTTTTTTTTCCCGAAGTAAAACTACGTATGTATTTTATTCTTTGAGCCAGCAATTTCCCTTTAGGATATTCACATGCCCACTCATTTCAGTAATATTTGTAATAACTGAAAATTATAAATAACCCAAATGTCCAACAATTAGGAGGGAGCCGGTTGAATAACCTAGAGAATAACCTCATTATGGAATACTGTTCATCTGTAAAAAGAAACGAAGAATATCAAATATTGCCACGGTGAGATCTCCAGAACATATTGTTAAATAAAAAAAACAAGGTATAGGAGGAGTACACATGGTGTGTTACCTTACATTTACCTACACTTTTAGATGTGGAAAAAAAAAGTGTATATTTAGATTTATTTTCAGAAAGAAACAATGAAAAGATACAGTTTAGTATTAACTAATAAAAAGGGTTATCCAGGGGAGGGAAAGCAGAGGAGAAAGGGCAAGAGGTGGCAAACAGATACTTTGTACCTTAGCTTTTCTTTTAGTTTTCACTTTGGAATACCATGTAAATATTTCATATATTAAAAAACAAAATCCAGCCAGGTGAGGTGGTGCATACCTGTAATCCCAGCAGTTTGTGAGACTGAAGTAGGAGGATTGAGAGTTCAGAGCCAGCCTCAGCAACAGTGAGGCGCTGAGCAACTCAGTGAGACCCTGTCTCTAAATAAAATACAAAACAGGGCTGGGGATATGGCTCAGTGGTTGAGTGCCCCTGAGTTGAATCACCAATAACGCCCCACCCTCCAAAAAACCCCATTAAGTAGAAATAATCAATCCTTAAAATTTGAAATTAGCAGAAGTAACTAAATCTATAAATTCTGGCCTAACTGCACAGGACAAATTTTAAAAGACATATTAAAACTATATGTATAGTCATACATATCCCTGAAAGTATATATTCCGAGAATATATAAGAAATACGGGATGGAGGGGGTGGAGATATAGCTCAGTTGGTAGAGTGCCTGCTCGCACAGGGCCCTTGGTTCAATCCCCAGCCACCAAAAATAAAAAAAGAAAAAGAAACATAGAGAAACTTTAAACTGTATCCAGCAGTCTGATTATACATAATAAATTCTTTTGAAGCTACTTTTACTGTAAGTCAAAGCAAATAATTATGTAAGTTATTAGGAACCAAGATTTTCAGCATAAAAGAGATCATTATAAAATCAAATATATTAAATGAAAATGCCTTGACATCTTTAATTTGAACTGGATGTACTATATGTAGGAATGTTGAATTTCTATTTCCTTTTTCAAAAAAAACTTGTATTTACCAACTTTGTTCATGACTGTTGAATAATAATGAATACTATTAGTGCCTAAATTCCACTAAAAGGAATCAGGTTTCTTTGGAGAAACGGTTGAGACTTCAAGTCTGGAGAAGTAAACGACCAGGGATACCCTGACATGCCTGAAAGCAAGCAAGTTATCAAAGATTAGTAGGGTCATATTAAAAAACACAGGAGCTAACTTGAAGGATAGTCTACTAAAGTTGGGGCAACTGTGAACTAAAAAGAAAATGAAGCCAGACATGATAGTGCACACCCGTAATCCCAGAGACTCAGGAGGCTGAGGCAGGAGGATCTCAAGTTCAAAGTCAGCCTTAGCAACTTAGTGAAGCCCTAAACAACTTAGTGAGAACTGTCTCAAAATAAAAAATGAAAAGGGCTAGGCACTTCACAGAAGAAATACAATCATTTGACAAATGTATGAAAAAAATGTTCAACATCTCTCTCAATGAGAGAAATGCAAATCAAAACTACACTGAGATTCCATCTCACCACAGAGGCAATCATCAAGAATACAAACAACAATAAATGTTGTCAAGGGGGCTGGGGATGTGGCTCAAGCGGTAGCACGCTTGCCTGGCATGCGTGCGGCCCGGGTTCGATCCTCAGCACCACATACAAACAAAGATGTTGTGTCTGCCGAAAACTGAAAAATAAATATTAAAAAAAAAAATTCTCTCTCTCTCAAATAAAAAAGAAATGTAAGCCTTTATTAAAAAAAAATGTTGTCAAGGATATAGGGAAAAAGGTACATTTATACATTGCTGGTGGGACTGCAAATTGGAGCAGCCACTATGGAAAGCAGTATGGAGATTCCTCAGAAAACTTGGAATGAAACCACAATTTGACCCAGTCATCCCACTCCTCGGTTTATATTCAAAGGACTTAAAATCAGCATGCTACAGTGACACAGCTACCTCAATGTTTATAGCAGCTCAATCACAATCTTTAAACTATGGAACCTACCTAGTGCTCTTCAACTGATGAATGGATAAAGAAAATGTGATACACACACACACACACAATATTACATACACACACACACACAATGGAATATTACTCAGCCTTAAAGAAGAATGAAAATATGGCATTTGCCAGTAAATTGATGGAACTGGAGAATATTATGCTAAGTGAAATGAGCCAATCCCAAAAAACCAAAAGCAGAATGTTTTCTCTGATATGCAGATGCTAATTCACAATAAGAGGGGAGAGAATAGAGGTATTTTGGACTAGACAGAGGGGGAGTGAAGGCAGGGGAGGGAGTATGGGGGTAGAAATAATTGTAGAATGAATTGGATATTATTACCCTATGTGCACATACGATTACATGACTTGTGTAACTCTACATCATGTACAACCAGATGAATGAGAAATTACACTCCATTTATGTCTGATGTTTCAAAATGCATTCCAATGTCATGTATAACTAATTAGAACAAATAAAAAACATATTTTTTAAAAAAGGCTAGGGATGTGGCCCAGTGGTTAAATGCCCCTGGGTTCAATTCTGGTATGTATGTATAATAAATAAATAAATAAATAAATAATTGTAAAGGTCAAAACTTATCAAATACAAACATCAATGATATTTATATTTTTAAAAACCTTTCAGTCATTTTAACTTCTTATTCTAAAATTTGACAGATAAAAGCGAGGAAATCTAACATTTTTCCTGCCATTCCTCTTTGCCTACATTTCAGAGAAGCCAAATAGATGCTGATTTAATAGAATAATAATAGTTGTTTTATTATCATTATCATTATGAAAATGATCAGACTTAGGGCTGGGGTTGTGGCTTAGAGGTAGAGCGCTCACCTAGCAAGTGCAAGGTGCTGGGTTCAATCCTCAGCACCACGTAAAAATAAATAAAATAAAGGTATAAAAAATAGTTAAAAAAAGAAAAAGAAAATGATACCACCAGTGATCTTCACTCACACTGAAATAAACAGATATCAGATGCTCTCTAATGTGAAGCCGGAGAAAAAACCCAGTGAGGAGTACAGTTATAAAGAAGATTAAAAAAGACTTGATTCATGTGTAAGACCTTGTCTGGATCCTGATTCGACCAAACCAACTGTAGAAAACCCCATTTTTGAGCCAAATTTGAACATGGATCACATTAGATGTCATTATGGAATTATGAGTGTGAAAATGCTGTTGGTTAAAGGGGGATTCTTGGTTAGAAATTTATACTAAAGTATTTATAACTGAAATGGTATTTGCTTTTAAATATTCGAGCAAATAAACAAGCACAACAAAAAGTATGATAGAAGGGTGTACAAATGAAAAGAATAGCCTAAAGCTGATCATTACTGAAGTTGGGGGATGGGTATATGTGATTCATTATAAAATTTATTCTAGTTAGTATATGCTTGAAAATTTTCCATAATAAAAAGAAAACTTCCACAAATGCTTTTCTGGAAATACAGCCTTTTCTCATTATCACTACATATCACAATATAATTCATAGGACTAGCAGCTTCACAAATGAATACTCACGGAAGGGTAGGCTGGGGAACAGAGATGGGGATAATTAATTC